ATAAGATAATTAATTAAAATAAATGAATAATGATAGAATTAATATAAAAAAATATTTATCTACTTAAAAAATTAAAAAAATAATAATTTAAGAGATACTAAAAGTTAAAAAATGACAAGTATTTTAGAATAGAAAAAGTAATAAAAATGTTGAAAAATATTTACTTGCATGCATTGAGGGGTATAAAACAAGAAATATCGCTCCAAACTACTCTTAACACCACATCTTAAAGGATTTAGGAAGACTTCAAAGTTGAAAGTTTTCCCTCACAAGTGTTAAAGATGTGTCTACAATGCAAGGAACAAATACGAAAATTTATACACGTAACATCTTTAGTTATACCATTACTCTTACCTAACCAGATAGATTCACAAGTCAATGCACAGGAAATTAAGAAGAGAAAGGTGTAGGAGCGATAACCTTTGACGATTAATGCCAGTACTTTCTTGACTTGTGGAAAAGGTTTTCAATCACACACATCCAGAGCTTTTTCCCACCAGATGAGGCTGTTGATGTGGGGGAATGAAGTTGGTGGAATTTGCCCTTGTACCTTTCTCATTAATCCTTGTTTGAAGTCATAAGCATGCAAGGAACCATCTTCTTCCCTCGTGAAGATCATATCTTCACCAATTTTCAAACTTAAAATTGGGACCATATGAAGCACACAACCAATAGTTCTGATACGATGGTGTTTAGTCCAGGCCTCATCATGTACACCCTTCAGAATCCAAATGTCTATGTCTAGTTCTTCATGTGCAACAAAAGAAAGGAATGTGCCCATTTCCAGAATCATGTCATGAGTTCTACAGCTCTTGGGCAGAGGCACTTTGTGAAATTTCTCGTTGCCCAGTTCCAAGGACACTAAATAGTCACAATGATCAATCTGAGGAATCCAATGCAAAGCTCTGATAGCTGAAACAGGTATGTATCCAAGCCAGCCAAAGAGGCCAAAAGCAGGTCCATTCACTTCTTTCCAGTATTTTGCCCCAACATTTAGTATCTCACAATTCATATATCCCAACTCATCTCGAAACAAATGCACTACTTTATAATCACCAGTAACATCACTGTATGCAAAGCCATAAGATTCAGCATGAGGGGGAACTAAACTTCCTACAGGAAGGTAAATCCACTTTCTGGTGATAGGATTCACAACCATAAGACCTCCTCTCTTCATTGCACTATCCATCAAAAGTAAACCATTGTATGAAGCTCTAATCTTGCCTAAGCAGCTTATCTTGTACTTTGCTAGCCTGCTATTTCCCTCTTTAAATTCAATAAACTGGATACTGAATTTTAATGTCCTGTTGAATGTCAATCCCCCAAACGGAAGAATGGGGGCTGGATGATTTGGTTGTCCTTCATATAACACAGCTCTTTGAAAGACCAACACAAATTCAGCTCGACTAAGATGGGAATTAATGAAAGTGGGGCTGGTAATTATGTTGTACCATGGCTTACATACCAACATTGACTTTGGAATTAGAGACTCAATAGGCAGTCGAACAAGGATATTTGAGACACAATCTTTAGGAAGATAAGGAACAACAGTATCAGTATCTTGTTGTTGCTTTTGTTCAAGAACGTTTTGCGGCTGCCTTTCCTCTTCCTTTCCCTTCTTGGACAATGCTCTTTCTTGCAATAATCTCATTAAGTTTACACCATTATTCCCCGCTGCTTTGGCCATTATGTGCTCTTATTCCTGAGTCAAATGCCTAACCAAAAATTTAAAAATTCAGAAAAATGATGATGTCAGAGAATTGGGCACGAGTCAATGTGCAAATGTACTTAAAGATATGAATATACATGCGCTGTCAAGTACACTGCTTTTAATGGCTAATGGCATCATAACACCATATGCAAAGGCCATAAGACTTACAATGAGAAAGATGTAAAGAACCTAACAGAACAAAAATCAATTTCCTTTAAGAGAGTCATTCAACGCTCTTCTTTTCAATTTTTGAGCAAAATCAGAACAGTACATGAAGATCTAATACTTCCCTGGCAACTTACCCGAACTTTTCTTTTGCTCTGTGCTTATTAATTTCAATGAGCTGGATATAGAATTTTTATGGGGATTAGAGGGCCACAATAGCATGATCTCCCAGGCATGTGTTAAACTCATCGTTGATACATGCTATGAAGGCTTTGGTAGGATAAGGTTTTTAAAACGCAGTTATATTATGAAAGAGCTCAGATACAATACTGGCGGTAATGCAGTTCAAGTCTAATGCCCAGGGTATGTATCCCCTATGAAAGGTGTCAGAGATCGACAACAGCTGCTTGTCATGGTTACACAGGCACTTACTGATCCTAAATTGGATCTGTAAGCAGGAGGTCTTGGAGTAAAACATTAATGCACAAATCCTCAAATAGAAAATTTTCATTTACAGAAAAACAGCCAAATTTAACATGTAAGATGGGGATCCTAGTTGAGGTAAAAAGTGCTTCCAGCAAGAATCATGTGAAAAAAAATATCAATTAATAGCACTAGAGAAAAATTAGTGATTTCTTTTCAATCATACCACTCAAAATGGTGCAATAACCTTGAGCTATTACCTGAATTTACAGCAAGAAACTCAATCTTTTATTCTGTATGAATAGCAAACATAGCATTCAACTACTAGAATTTGGTAAATACAGAGATGCTATAGACATAAACAGAACAACTATAACCTGAATTTGGCACTTGATCTAGAAGAAGTTTAGGTCGCTTTGAAGTTGTAGTTTCCAATGGTGTTCCTACACCATAGTATGGTCAATTAGGGTTCATATGATTCAACAACTATAACCTCATCAAGTTTACTTCCTTAAGCATGTTATGGCATTCAGATGCTTCCGTTTTCTTCTAGACTTCCTGAATATTTTATTTTCTCATATTTTATAATTGCCACTTAAAACAGAAGATTGATTTTGATGTACTGATTTTACCATATTAACTGAACTTTCATGAAGATAGAAGGTGATTTCTAGCAGTCTTAAAACCTTTTCCCTAGTTGTATTATAATCTATGTTTGCTTTAATTGACACTGATAACCTTTTAAATGGGCCTTTAACTCCCACACGGTTTTAAAGAACAGTGAGCAAGCACCAAGGTATTCTCTTATCCATGTTATTTGCTTGTTTTCGGATCCAATATTATAGCTCTTGCTTTTTCATTTTCAGATTTTTAGTATTCCCAACATTATCTTCAGTTTTATTGATTGACATGAAGCCATTTCATGGATTAAAGGATAAGTTATAGATTGTAAATTGCATTCTCAGCCTGTTTCTTTTACTGTTTCAAGAGCATCAAATACAGGCCTTCCTCAATCGACAACTTTGTTTTAGTAAATAACTCAAATGCATCTAATTTAGTAGACATCATATTTGCAAATTATCTATTGCAATTTTGTTTTCATTTTAAGGTGCTTTCTTCAACCTGAAAAACAAAAGGATTGCTTTTGCCATTGCCTTTTTTGTTTTATAGGGCTCCAATCTTTACCGAAGAAGTTCTGAGTGGTGAGAATGGGGAGGGTGAAGTTGTGCAGCCACCAGAAAGATCTTTCGGGGCTAAACATGTAAGTCAGGACGAAGTTGTATTATCCTTTACTGTATTATGTTAAGCCATCTAAAGTGAGGCTAACTGAATCTTTTGTTTGTAGTGGATGTATTTCATCCCTCTTGGACTCATAGTCATGAATACCATAACCCAAGCAATGAATATGCCCGAGGAACAAGCTACTGGTCAATCAGCATCACTAGCACATCCAACTGCAGCAATGCAGCGCGCATCGAATGCTGCAGTGCGTAGAAAATGACATTTAACTATTTTAGGGACAAATACTGGCAAAAATTTATAGTTATTAGATTGGGGCTTAGATTGATTTTTAATGTATCTTGTTAGTGAATCGAGTTCATTTAACTTGAAAGCTGACCTCGGCTTTTAATTTGAAGATCTTTTATGTCTGTGTTACTATTTTTAATTTTTTAGTAACATATTTTTTTGTTTAAATAATTAATTAGATACTCTTCCTTATTTGCAGTCTAAATTATAAAATTAAGATTGTTAAATAGAGGAATAATTCTCGATATCAAAGAGTTGACTTTTTATTTGACTTTTCATCTAGCAGTTTTTATTTTATAATCTTATAACTTTCTTTTAGAAGAAAAATACAAATAAAATTATATATCTATTTAAAGAAAATAGAGTAATATTGGACTATAAAATACTACATATAATATGATTAATGTAAACGATTCCTCAGATCCCAAGGCCTCTCAATAGCAAGGGGTATTCCATAGAGAGTTGGGTCGAAACATGGCAGTTTAGTTTCAACATGTAATTGGGCAGAGGTCATGCAATGCGTGCGGTGATCTACAACATTCTCAAACCTTTGGAGCTTACATGGCAAGAGAATTATAGCAATGC